TGTTTGCTACCCTCCCTCATACTGTAAAGCGTCTTTGAGCTGTGAAAAGCGCTATATAAATAAAATGCATTATTATTATTATTATTATAGATGTGTACGTGAATTGATTTGTTGAATGAAAGTTTGAATGTGCTTTTTATTATTACCGGTTTAGAGGATAGATACATAGACTTAATAACTTCTGTTAGGTCAATTAGTGGGTCTGAGTAATTTGCCGGAATAAATTAAAAGCCCTCCCGACTCCCAAGAACATGAATACATGACGGTTACCTGAGAGGTCGAACTGGTAGATGCCCTGCGTCGTCTTGATAACATCTTCGTTGATCACCGCCTTGATGGCGTCGAAGGTGTTTTCTATTGGTCCTCCAGAGAGGGGCGTGGCCGATGATGTTGGGGGTCTGAAGGCTGGGGTCGCCCCTGGCAACAGGAGATAACACCTGGTTAACACTTACAGTAAACATGGCCATCTTAAGGATAACATATTTTTAATAACATGTGTTCACCGTGTTGCTCCATCTTCTCCACCAGCGTCTCAGGGGCGTCGTCCAGGAAGAAGTCTGGCAGCAGGGGGTGACCTGTGGACCAATCAGAGGCCAGCATGAGTACCAGCTGATGAGTGTGTTAGCTCTGTTAGCTCGTTAGCTCACCTGGCTGCACAGCGTACTGCTCAAAGTCTTGGACCCCCTGCTGTCTCAGGACGTCTTCGTCCACCAGGAAGTTCCCCGTGAAGTCGGTCCCTCGAGAGAGGACAGCGTACGCAGCGTCGGCCATGATGTCCACCGTGCGGCACTGCTTAGAGACGCCCTCCCCCCCCAACATCTCCATTGCTGCCGTCTGGATCGCTGACACACACAGATACAATCACACACATTATACAGATTATACACACATTACACAAAAGGGTGCCACATCACTAACCCTAAGCCACACCCTCTAGCTGTGGCACAGGGCTCTGGTCTCAGACCCTAACCCTAATAATATAAATATATGAATATTACCAGTTTTGGGCCACAGAGCGTTGACGGCCACCTGACCTCTGAACTCCTCGGCCATCCCCAAGACACACATGGACATGCCGTACTTAGCCATGGTGTAGGCTGCAGACACAAACAGAGGGTCAGTAGAGCACAGGTGCATGATGGGATGCTGGCTGGTTGCTATGGTTACTGCTATGGTTACCTGTGTGGTTCTTGAACCAGATGGGGTTCAGGTTGAGAGGCGGAGACAGATTCAGGATGTGAGGAGAACGACTCTTCAGCAGGTGAGGAAGAACCAGCTTAGACCTGCTCACACACACACAGGATGTCAGGAGAACGACTGTGTGTGTGTGTGTGTGTGTGTGTGTGTGTGTGTGTGTGTCTGCAGTTCAAGAGACAAACTGCTCCTCTCTTTATCTGCTTGATGCTGAAACATTTATCAGTCTGTCCATCTATCGCTGCATTATCTGCTTCCGTTGTTCATTCTGCTTATCTTCTGCAGGCAGGTCAGTGCGTGTGCGTGTGTGTGTGTGTGTGTGTGTGTGTGTGTGTGTGTGTGTGTGTGTGTGTGTGTGTGTGTGTGTGTGTGTGTGTGTGTGTGTGTGTGTGTGAGACGCTCACCTCCTCCGTCAGGTTTGAGTCCTCCAGCTAGCATCCTGATGAAGGTGGTCTTCCCCGTGCCTGAAGGAATTTATAAACCAGTTGAAACACACAGAGAAACATCCCATGCTAAGTTGGTCCACACTTACATGTTGGTAATCATCTGGTGATATAGGAAGGAGAGATATCTGAGGGTAGAGTCAGGGGTACATGGAGGACAAGGTGAGGGAGGAAGGAAGGATATATGAAGGAAAAGCAAGCAAGGAAAGGACTAATAGGTAAGAGTGGGGAAGGAGGAGAGAGAAATATGAAAGAATATCGAGGGGAAAAGTAAGGGAGAAAGTTGAGGTAAAAGTCAGGGAGAGATGAAGGAATAGATGAGGGAGAAGGGACAGACATCTATGAGAAAAGTGAGGAAGGAAGCATAGGAAATAGGGATGCTCCGATCGATCGGCCGAAAAAAAAAAAGGGACAGATCAGAGGTAAAGGTGAAGAAGGAAGTTAGAGAAATATAAAGTAACTTTAAGAGAGGAAGGAAGGAAATAAGAAAGGGACATTTTGAGAAGGAAGGAGAGAAAAGAGAGGGACAGAAATCTAAGGTAAGAAGTAGGGCTGCTCAATTAATTGTATTTTAATCGCGATTACCATTATGGCTTGCAACGATTACGAAAACAACGTAATCGAAAAAAAAAAAATTTAAAATCTTTTTTTTTTTTTAATTACTTTTTTGTGGTTTTTCATTTGAATTATACTCAAAGTTAATCAACTGTTAAAAATATACTGTTCACATTTTTTTTCTCCAATAAATGGATGTTTTCAAAGTCAATGAATAATCCCATTTAATAATCGCATTTACAATTATTGACCCAAATAATCGAGATTATGATTTTTGCCATAATCCAGCAGCCCTAGTAAGAAGTGAGGGAGGAGGTAAGGGAAGGTGAGCGAGGAAAGGAAGGAAATAGTTCTCATACTCCTATAGCATTAAGGAAATACTTTTGAACCCACAGAAAGGTTATGAATATATAAATACGTTATGAAAGCGTGCTCTGACCGTTCTCCCCGAGCATCACCATGATCTCAGAGTCGGTGAACTCTCCAGCTCTGATCTCCAGAGTGAAGTCTCCCATCGTCTTCACCATCGACGGGTACTGAGACAAAGCAGCCGGTTTAAAGACACGCCCACAATCTGGTTCCATCGTGTCAGGAATCAACATTCAACCCCCCCGTAGTACAGAGGCATTGTGGGTAAAACTGATGAAGCTACACAGTAACACTTGAGATTCAAATGGTGAATAAATGACATTTCTTTAATATATATATTTTAATTAAGTGTTTTTTTAAGTATTCTACAATAAGAAAATCCAACATTTAAGGGAACTATGTTATAAATCAATCTTAGTTAATCTCATCAAATAATTATATAAACAATATTCCAAGTTATTTTCCTGTAAATGAACCACTTTAATATCAATCAGGGTTTGTTCTGGTATTTTTATTAATTTAATCTCAGACAATATTTAAGTAATTTCCTGTGAATTCACCGGTTTTAATCTCAGAATATCCTCATTTTGAAGTGTTTTTTCACCACTTTATTCACAGATTATCCCGTAAACTACGTCTCTAATCCTGTAAATTAATCAATCCTAATCCTAACATCACACTCTGTCCCAGATCTGTCATTTTAAGAACGTTTTAAACCTATAATAGCTCTTAAAAGCCGTCCATTTCAGTGACTGGTGTTTCACCAATCAGGACTGATGATGATGAAGAAGGGAGGATGCAGGGATATACATCACGTGTGAGGAAGATGAAGATATATTTGTGAAGAGGAAGCTGACCTGGTAATGTCGGAGTCTCTTCACTTCCTCCTCGTTGGCCGTTTCGGCGACTTTGAAGACGAGCGAAGTTTCTCTAAACCGAAGATTCTCCGTGGGAACGTAGCCGTCCAGGAAGATGTTGATGCCTGGAAGTAAACGCGTCACAAATTCACATTTACACTCAGTTTATCGTTCTCACATCCTGAGAGGGAAACGGGTTCACTAGAACATCACGTTTATAGGATCACTCTTAGGACGAGAACAACTGGAACATATAAAACTACACCTCCATAGTTTAGAGACACATTCAAATATCTATCTACATTACTAACATGTGTGTGTGTGTGTGTGTGTGTGTGTGTGTGTGTGTGTGTGTGTGTGTGTGTGTGTGTGCATGAGTGTGTGTGTGCATGAGTGTGTGTGCATGAGTGTGTGTGTGCATGAGTGTGTGTGTGCATGAGTGTGTGTGTGCATGAGTGTGTGTGTGCATGAGTGTGTGTGTGCGTGTGTGCATGAGTGTGTGTGTGTGTGTGTGTGTGTGTGTGTGTGTGTGTTACCCTCAGGGTCCAGCAGTCTGTCTATCCCCATGTGTTGTTCTGCCTTATTAAAGGCGTGTTCCAGTCTGTCGATCGCAGACGTCTTCTTCTCCACTGAGGCCCAATCAAAAAGCTCGGGTCTGTGGAGGTACAAGGGAAGTTAACAGGGATCATGTGCCCACTGCATCTGGTAGATGCTTTCTCAGTTACACTTACCTTCTTTAGCATATGTTAACTTAAAGGAGATAAAAGGCGTAATTCAAAGTAAAAACTGACATTGAATTTAACAAATACATATTTTGAGTGTCTAGTCTTAAAAGTGAAATACACTGTAGTGATCTCACTTGAGCTGATGCAATCATTTGTATTTTTGGAGCTACTTTAAGTGAGCAACAATATATTCATCTACCAGACAGTCAGTGGTTTGAGCCGTACACACTCTACAGACAAATAGTGAAAGTGGACCATAATAACTCAAAGCTGTTTGATTTAAACATTGCTCTGTGAAACCAACTATCCGTAAACAGAATGCTGTTGGCACGGAGCGGATGATCTGCAGGGTGATGGCTTTGGAGTGTGTGATCTCGCACTCTGTATTCCTGTAAGGACACAGCCAACAGATGCTCATGCTGGCTAGCCATGATTTAATTCATTATGACACGAGTCCAGGCCTGAGACCCAGACTCTCAGGGGCGTCCAGAGAAATATATCAACACCGTTTCACCTGTGCTAAACCATTCTTCCATCGATTCATCCGGCTTTCATCTATTATCCAATTACTGCTGCATCTATTTCTTCATTCTTTACGCATTTATTGCAGCAGATATGTAATGTTGATAGATTCTCACTGGCTGAAATATAAAGCTTTCTCAACTGATTAGGTTTAAACAAAGAGCATGACATTCTCGCAGTTGGCTTCCTGTAGCAGTGCATCACTAACTGCTGGCACTAACTAACCAAATGTTGTCTTTTCATTTTCTCCCTTCATATCCTGTTTCTCTTAGTATTCAGTACTAACGGGCTGCCTACAAAATATGAAAACAAGACCACAACACACACACACACACACACACACACACACACACACACACACACACACACACACACACACACACACACACACACACACACACACACACACACACACACACACACTACAC